GAAGTGTCACAAAATGTCGTCGCAGTTGGTTTTGCACGTGGATCACGATGGGCATGTGGTGGTGGCGTCAATGTTGATCTCGGCGGCAATCAGTTCAAGCAACCTTCCAACATCTTTCGTTTTCTTTTTAAACAATTCTGAACGAAAAGTCTCCTATAACTTCTCTTGAAATCATAATGCATCAGATACTCTGCACTTCAGACCATCTCAACGAAATCTTTTCATATTTGTCTCGACACACGTGTACTGTTGCTGCCCGAGTGTGCAGATTATGGTTCACCCATTCCATACAATCCATATGGGATACTGTCAGTGTTAATGACACGTTGAGGGTGCTTTCACCTTTTGACGATGTAAGAAAAAAATTAAATTGTACAACAAAAAGGATGCTGAAATCGTTTCAATAGGACGGCTTCAAGCAGCCGCTGTTGCCAGAGTCCTGGCACCGTTTCTTTCTATATTCAAAGAATATCCGCCAGCTTAAATGTCACGAAATTCAACACGCTGCTCTTAGACAGGCGCTACTTTGGAGACCCAATGTAGATCTTCTTTCTTCAAAATTGACTCTTCTTAAATGGGATGCACCGTCGGAGTATATCGAATATTTACCCTCTCTGGTAACATTGACGTTACAAATATTGCAACTTGAGCTGGATACGATAAAGAACACGAATACACTGGATATTTTTTGCAAAACAATTCCCCTCCATTCACCTTCCTTGCGTGCTCTCGAAGTCAGCTTTCCGCCTGCAGATAATGATACTCAAGCTATCTCTCGGTCACTGGGTGAATTATTCTCACTTCTTTCGGAACTTGTCTTAATTCGTCTACCACCTCATTGTATGACGGGAGAGTTATTCACCACCCTTTCACGACTACATCAACTCCAAGCTCTCTCATTGTCCCAGTATTCCTATTCTCTGTATATGGATGAAAATATAATGGAAATGCTATCAAAAAGAAGATTTGACGATGACAAAGAATCAGGGAAAGGTATACCTTTCCATTCCCTTGAAAAATTAGACATATTTGACTCCGATTTCATGATGGTCGAAGCCTTACGACGTGGCCTCCAGCTGCTTAAGCTAGCTGATTTGACTTATTTGGGTACTCCCGATCATACTATTACTTCAATTGAGTCGTTACATAGAACCTGTCCGAATATTGAGAAGATATCAATTTTCGCAGACAGTTTACCCTTCCAAGCAATTCGATCACTGTTAAAATGTCCAGCTCTTGTAGAGATAGTTTTAAATAGCATAGTCGATGCGGACCTGGAAGATATAGTCACCATTGCAACTAATAGATCCTCTTGGAAATCTATTACCCTACCATCTGTCAAACCTGTCAGTTATCACGCGCTGATTCCCTTTGCACGAAATTGTCCACATTTATACAAGCTCAACCTAACGCTAGATTCCACGTTGGGAATTCCCGATCCCAGTGCATTGGATGTCAAGTTTTCATCCTTAACTTCATTAGAAGGGGGTTTGGAATCTCCTGACTTTGAGCTTGCATTTTTCTTGTCAAAAATTTTCTCGAAACCCATTGAAATTATAGGCTACCGCAGTTCATGGAAAACCCTCGAGAAATTGGTTAATTTCATCATAACAACCGAAATAAAAAATCGAACATTGGAGGACGAGAACATGCTATTACGCACTCAAAAGTGTAATCACAATTTCTGATCAACAAACATGATCCCAATTTTCCTTTGTCTGTGATCATTGACAGAATTGTGGATTGCCGAGCGATCTCTGATCAAAAAAACGCGATCTCGTTTTCCTTTTCTCATTGTGATCAGAAGTAGTATCACTAATGTCTTTTATCCGCATTATGTGTTTGTTCAATAAATTCCTTAGATGCACCAAGTGTTTCCGTATTTATTTTTTGGTGACAAGTATTCAAAAACTAAATTATGCTTTTCAAAAGACTTGATGAGAGATTGTCAAAGCTTCGATTTCATCAAACGATACATCATAACAAACTCAGGAACTCTCCCTTCAACGAAGAATTTGATGGCGGGGGGTAGGCAAGAACCCACATTTGTTCATCCCTTTCTCTACTCTCACTCACAATGCTCTGTAAGTGACACTAAGTGTCCAAATACGCATTGGATTGTATTGGATTAGTCCGGAACGACTCCAAGGTCAGCAACTATCATCGGTTTGTTTGATTGCCATAAAGATATAACCACACATGCGTACCAAGAGCAACCAGAGTCCCCATTGATCTTTGACAATAAACACAAATTGAAGATCGGACAATATCGAGGATGTAAACCAATGACCTTTACTCAAGGCAAAGTGACAGGAGACGATATTACCTATAATGAGTTCGTCTCCTGTATCGGCCTTTGCAGAGGACGATTGTGGAATATTTTTTTACATGATTATGAACCGGCTACTCTGCAAGGTACATTGTCTTCGGGGCTTTTTACTCTGGTTTACATGACGAACAAGAAAAGAAAAGATAAATTAAAATCTACAAGATTAACTTCTGGCAACTGCACAATCGCTTGCATGCTGTATATACATAGTTATGAATATATATGTTATCCAGTGATCTTCGATGAAAGCATACCAGAACTGAATAATGCGTTCGAATTGCCAAAACATTTAAAGCAATCAGATACTCTTTAGAAACCGAAGGCAAAATAACGATGGTGGAAGTGATGACGCGTATGATTGCGCTTTTGGGGTGTTCGGGGTGGCTATAAATAAACTTCGAAGAATGTCTTCCGTTTTGATGGATTGTTCTGGATCTCTATTTGCTTTTATAGACGAATAGATTCTTCACTTAAACCCTTGGTTTTGTTGTGGTCGCTGAAGGATGGTTTCCTATGTGAAGACAGGAAGGGACGGAGGAAACAGTGCGGTTGAAGGTGATTTTCTACTGGGACGCGGGTGGTCGCCCACTGGAAGATTACTGTAATGCTAAATACTTTAATTCCCAAACAGTAATATCGGCATCGAGTGTTAAATCTTCCCGTTGAGGATTTAGTAGTCTTGTCATATATCACTAACCTAGCCGCAACTTACCAGTATGTTTCTCTTTAACTAACGGACGATACATCATCTGAGGTTATTCCTGGATATATATACGGGTGAGCATACTAGAGCTTGTAAAACAATCAAAAGCCTGTGAATGCCGTTTGAGGGCAAGGTGTTATATGTACATACCAAGGCATCCCGTCTAATAGAGGATTAGTCAACAGATGCATTAGGGAGTATAAGACTGAGGTTCTAGAATGATATAAACATATCGTTAGTTGACCAAGATATATATCATGAGCCTTACGTTCATCATGAATTCCAGTACACTCTCTAAGAAAGCACCCGATTCAGAAGTGTCGTATATGGCAGTTGTAGTTTGATTAGAAAATTAGTGTCCTGGAGCTAAGGGATACCCATCGATAGTAATGCTGTCAAGTGTTCCTAATCCTTCCCTATTGGGCGATATGCGTGTTCCATAAAGGGCAGAGATAATCGCTTGTGAAAACCACGGATAGGTATTCCAGTGATCTGTTAATTGGCCTGCAAAATTAGGAACTTTGAAGGAAACCGTGTTAAGCCCGAGCGATGAGAACGGTGAACAAAGCTTCTGGATCGTTCGTAAGTTGAAATTGTCTTTGGAATGTCTATGTCGGTTTAAATCTTCAATGTCATAAAGCATAAGTAACAATCCTTGCATTCAAAATGCCTTGGCGTATCGTCTCCTGTAAATCTTTGATAATTGAAATTTCTTTTTTTTCCTTTTGAAGTACTTTGCAGTAAACCGAATAGACAGTAATAAAACGTCGTTTGAAGGGACTCGGAAGGCGTACATTTATCATAAGTAAAAGTGTCATAAAAAATGAAAACGTTGTCAGTCGCAGCTTTGTCGCAAAAATCTGGAGGGGTTTGTTTAGACCCAAAGCTCTGGTTTTACTTGACTTATGTTTATCAACGATTGACAATTAATGATCATGGGTTGATAAACATAAATCAGGCAAAATCAGAGCTTTGGGTCTAAATAAACCCCTCCAGATTTTTGCGACATTGTTTGTGGGTGTGTGTGGTAGTTCCAACAATCGTTTACGTCTGTTATCGGCAACAATCTTCCCACCGTACCGAACCTTTCGCTGAAGTATGATTTTCCTATAGAAAGAGAGGAAATGGTACGGTTGAAGGCGTTTTTTCTTTGGCTGGGACGCGGGCTGTTGGCGATTGAAAGATTCCAGTAATGATCACTGTAACGGCATTCTCATCGATGTGATAATGGAAGGATTCAGATGAAAAGATTATGTGTTTTAAATAGAACTTCAGCGGATGCCACCAGTCAACCTACCCATTGATTTATCCTATACCACTAACCTATCTGTACCTTGATATTTTTTTACGCTGGGTGATCTTACTAAACTCTTCATGAATGTGAAGTCCCTTCGGTAGAGCCCCTTTGAGGAAACCTTCATTCGAAGAACAACAGTTACGGAACGCGAGCATGCATTCTTCGCACCTTTGTTACTTTTACCAAAGGACAATACATCATCTGAGGTTATTCTCGGCATATTATACGGTATGCTGACGATCAAACTAGAGCTTGTAATACAATTACAATAATGAAAAGGTACCCCGTGAATACCGTTTGAGGGCATGGTGTTATAAGCCAGTTGGCGGTGTAGTATGAAGCGATAGCGTTAAATGAAGGATTGACGAACAGATGCATTGAGAAGTATGAAAAACTATGAAAATGTAAATGGTCGTTAGTTGACCGGACTAGAATTTAGTTTACGAACCTAAAGCTGATCATGGACTCCAGTTCGCTTTCTAAAGATAGGTATCCGGATTCGGAAGCTTTGTACACCAGTAATTGTGGTTTGATTAAAAAATCACTGCGCTAGAGTTAGTGGAGGAAGGAGTTTTCAGTGTTCAAATCCTTCCCTGTTGGCTGATATGCGTGGTCCATAGAGAATGAATAGCAGGGATAATTATTGCAATTAACAAGCCAAGCACTCAACAGGGCTGGTGGTGCAATGGTAGCACCTCCTGCTAGAGCGGGGAAGGGCCCAGGTTCAATTCCTGGCCAGTCTGAGTTGCGATAATAATTGCTTGTGAAACCCACGGATAGACAATGATTCTGGTGATGTATCAAATAAATGTGAGAATTTTTTTGAAGGAATTTGTGTCGTAGATCCTGAGCTAAAGACTTTTGATTCGTTTCCTGTTTTACCAACATGAGTCATCGCTGCAAGACAATATCTAAACACCTAATATTCATGAGAGTTTCAGGTAGCAGTTTCTTCAACGTCACCTAATGTAAATTCGGAGTTACATAATAGGATGGGTTCAAGCAGCCCTTGTTGTCAGAGTCCTGGAGCCGTTTCTTTCTATACTCAAAAAATATTCGCCAGCTTCAATGTCGTCGCATTGAATATGCTGCTCTTAGACAGGCACTACTCTTGAGACCTAATGTGGATCTTCTTTCTTCAAAATTGACGGTTCTTGAATGGGATGGACTGCTGGAGCATATTCATATTGAATGTTTACCCTCTCTAGTAACATCAACGTTAGAAATCCTGCAGGTTCGGCTGGACAGCATAAATTTTCCGAATACGTTGGATGTTTTTTGCAAAACAATCCCCCTCCATTCGCCATCTTTGCGTGCTTTTGAATTCAACTTTCCGCCTGAAAACAATCATATCCAAGTTATCTCTCACTCACTGGCCAAATTCTTCTCACTTCTCCCGGAACTCGTTTTAGCCATTATTCCACACCATTGTATGACCGGAGAATTATTCACTGCCCTTTCACAACTACCTCAACTCCAATATCTTTCGTTCACCCAATCTTCTAACGACTTCTTGGGTGGATTCAGAGAGGTGAAGGAGCTATTGAAGCAAAAAATTGACAATGACAAAGAAGCAAGCAAAGACATACCTTTCGTTCCCTTAAAACAATAGAGATATATGGTTCCGATCTCATGACGGCCGAAGCCTCTCGACGTGGAATTCAGCTACTTAAGCTGGTTGACCTGACCTATTATTCGGATTCCTCTCCTAATAAATACCATTACTGTTATGGACTCATTGCATAGAATCTGTCCAAATCTTAGGAAGATATCGATTGTCGCTAGTGAAGATTTACCTTTCCGAGCAATCCGGCCACTATTAAAATGTCTGACTCTCGTAGAGATGATTTCGCAGGAGGACGTTGATATAGAGTTAGAAGATATGGTCACCATCACAACCAATCGATCCTCCTGGCAAGTCATTCATCTACCATCTGTAAAACCTCTCAGTTATCAAGCAATGGTCCCCTTCGCACGAAATTGTCCACATTTATACAAGCTCCGCCTGGCGCTAGATTCCAAGTTGGGAATTCCCGATCCCAATGTACTGGATGTCAAGTTTTCATCGTTGGCCTCGTTAATCGTTGGGTTTTCGGAGCCTACTTCTGACTTTCAACTTGCATTGTTCCTGTCCAAGATTTGCTCAAAACCCATTGAAATCACCCCTTACTCACTCATCCCAGAAAATCATCGCTTGTGGAAAACTGTCGAGAAATTGGTCAATTTTATCCTAACAACCCAACTTGAAAACCAAAGACTGAAAGACGAGAACATGTTATTTTATCAAAAGTGTAATAACGATTTTTGATTAAAAGACGCAGTCTCAGTTTTCCTTTCTCAGACTCATGCTTCTCATCCAAACCGCATGTGTTTGTTAAATATACATACTTATTGTAATCCCAATAAAACCACTGATTAGAATCACCACTCATGTTTGTCGATTTAATGTCAACAAAACAGAAGTTATGCCTGACGAGTTATCGAAACGAATCATAGTACCTGATGGCGATGAAACAGAGGAATTCCAGAGTTCATGATGACAAAGGCCTTTCGACACGAATTCTTCAATATTTGTTGCGCGTCGCCTGCTTTACATACTTCCTCTTTTTGATACAAAGTTATTACAAACCCAGAACGTTGTCAATATGAGAACATCGACCTAGGTAATTATTTTGTCTGACACTGGAGCGCAATTCAGGATATGTTCATCCAGACATCGAAATAAGACATTTACCTAAATCGGGATAAAATAGGGGGTATTGAATGCTTTCGGAACTGTGCGTCACAGCCTCTATTATTGACGGTCAATGTCCTTGCACTTATGGATAAATCTCTCAAATTCCTTCCCTCAAAAGTTGACGAAAGATATGGATATATCATATCGAGAGACTAAATACTGACAGAATGCCCCAACAGACAGGGCACCCGGTAATACATAAAGGACCAGGATTATCATCATCAGACTTATTCTCCATCAGCTGGAATCGGTACCGTGACGGCCTTGAGCGTCCACTTCCATTGGCTATTACCAGTGACTATAACAAACTGCAACAAATTTGAATTCGTCAGTGACGACTGCCCAACAGATAAAAAAAAAACAGTTAATTTACATCCCCACTTTCACTTGGAAGCCAGTTCTTGGAGGAGGTGGTGCTGATCCTAATGTACGAGTGTATCGTCAGTTAGATATCCATGCTACAGCATGAAGAAAAAAACAATTTCATACAAGCCGGTAATATTGGGAATGACCCAGAGATAAGAGGAATCAAAATTAATGCTGAGAGCTTCATCACTATTGACGATAATGTACTGTTTCGTGCGTACACTTTGGATAACATAGCCATCGGCTACTGAACCACCAACAGGTATAATATTCCACTATTATTACTTATATAAGTATTTTCTTTGTACGATAATAACAATACGAACTTGTTGTTTGGGGTCGGCTGCATTAAAGTCGACAAGAATGATACCGGACTTGGGTGAAACAGAAACGGAATCAGCTTTTCCACCGCCGCGGCTAAGGGTTATGTTGTACGTTCCGTTGAAAGACATAATTATGGAGAAAGGTGAAGAAACGGAATAAGCTTTCCTTTATAAACTTTCAGGACAGTTGGATTCTCTATGAGCATACATACTAAGCTTTTGGTTTCGTGAGTAAATTCCCAGTGGGACGGACATCTGTCACGGAGGTGATATACTCCCGATGATCTTCTCATTCTCAAGTTTGCTAATAATATTAACCGTTTCGGGGTGGGAGCGCTGGGATCTCATGTCGGTGGTTATATAATAGAAAAATAAAGTTGCAATGAAAAGAAAATTCGTCAGAGCCTGTCATTCTTCAGTGATGATCTTTATTTTTTAAATTGAACTTGAGTCTCTAGACACACCATCTGCCACGGAGACAGCATAACCGCGACAATTTTCGGATTCTTAAACTGTAAGACATGAGATCTAGAGTGTCTTACCATAAATAAATCGACTCTTCGACACCTGAACCACTGATTCCTTACTTATTTTTTCATTCGTATACCTGCCAGGTGTTTGTTCATTGACACTGGCAAAACCTCCGTCCATACCAAACTGTCAATCTTGTCAAAAGCGGGGCTCAACGTGCTAGCGAATTATAGATAGATAGATATTTACGTATTTTCAAGAACACTCTAATATTGCTCACAGTTCATTAGCATTAGTTTTTGCTGCTGAATCCTGTAACACATATGTACTCCAAAATGACAATGAATGTGTGGCCGTGTTAGTTGTGTCACTGGAGGCACACCAGCTTATTGTTCTCGCCGTCTGCCAATTATGTCAATGGCTGGCAGCCTGTGAATTCATCCTGTGGCGAATAAACTCCAAAGTACTTGCAAATTTTTGGGAATGAAATTCCGGTAAGTGAAACAAGTTCAGGTTTGCTCTTTATTTGAAGCTTCAATTTCAGCGCCCTGTTGGGACACCACATTCAGATTAGTATATAAACCCTTAAGAATTACCTTTCAAACCATCAGGCTTTCTCAGTCGTCGTCCAAACTTCACATTCACCTTTCATTTTCAAAACAGCTCTCACACTGACAACAACCATGTTGCAATCAGCTAACTCTGCTTTTGTTCAAACCCTCGTCGTTGGGGGCAATAAAGATACACCATTCAATGACCTTGAAGCACGTTAGTCTCTCTGGTACAAATAATCTTTCAAAATATAAATCTTACTTTATCTTTAGTCGGATGGCCCGCTACAAGCCCTTTGGATATTAACCACCCGATTACCACTATGTATGCTTCTAACTCAAGTTCGCCATCTAAAATAATTTGTTAACCAATTCCATTTACAGTGAGGTCCTCTATGGTTATGTGGTATGTCACTTAACAGTTGGATTCTCTATGAGAATATCCCATATAATACACAATACATACATACATAGGTCGATGCTCTGAACATCACTTACCAACTCGCGGATGGCACTACCAAGCTGATCAAACACGGTGCCCAAAGTGGGGGAGACACTGCTGTAGTCCACCTAGGCGGTATAATCCAATTTTCCTTTTCATGGTTCACGTTTTGATTTGGGCGTTTTAGCGGACGAAGTCCTCGTCGACGTGTATGGGAAAACTGGTTATCATTTCTATTATGATAAATTTTTAGTCTGTCAAATCTCATTTGTTATTCTGAACACAAAAACGGCTGCAGTTCGTGTATTTGGGGTGAGTAGGCATCAACCACTAACCTCGGAGGTTTTACATATACATATACTTTTTTTTTTTACTTTACCAGCCTATCGGAAACGGCGACAATGCTAACATAGGTGATCTGTTCCATAATGCTGGCACCCTCGCCTTTGCTGGTTTTGCAGATAATACTGCCATCGAGGGTATGTTCTGCGTTTTCTTCAAAGTACAAAGCTGATCTGAGTATTTGTTCAAATAGGTGGGATTTCTGGTCTCTCTTTCATAACTTCCAAAGTATGGGAGTAAATTCAAACATTCAGATATGCTGTAAAATTGCAACCAACTTCTTTGATCAAATTTTACATAGGTGTGGATATGATATATGTATGAAAAAATGTATAAGAAAATAACAAAAAAAAAGAATGTACATTGTTATGTTTTACGAGTGACAAATTGTCCCATTTCCAGGTAAATAAATCGAGACATTGTCATATAACGACTGCTGCAAAAGCCGAAATCGGTTTATTAACTGATCAAGGCCCTAATTCTGAATATTGAGATTAATAAACCACTTTGG